TACACGCAGTCTACACACTCATCACATAACTTTGACAAGTACTATATGACAAGGTACTTTCTTTGGGATTTGTTTAATAACGAAATTAAGAAAACATAGTACAATAATCATTTATTGGGATAATCAAGTCACCATTTGTCTCAAAACCAATTATTTTGGCCGCTTCTTTATGAATTTATTCGAGGAAATATCCTCTCTTTTTTCCCCTTCAATTTGGCTTTTTCTACATCCAATTTAAAATTATTCACCAAACTAATTAATTACATTTCTTTTGTTTAGATTATAGTAATTTTTTTTTGTTTTATTTTTAAATAATGCTAGTTACTATATAGTAGGAGTATATTTGTTTTACTAATTTTATCTATATTTTATAATGACTAAAATTTTCAAATCTGACTTATATCATTCATTTGTAATTTTCAATAATTTATATATTTGTCCTGATATCTTGCGAGGCGCATTTAACGGTTATCGTATCTAATCGCTCTTACCAGATTCCATGTAAGCTTCCCGACCGGACTTTGAACCTTCTTCACATTGGAGAGACAACCCAAAAGGAATCGTGTCCATTTTCGGTTCCTCTGTCCTCAAAATTATTCCTTTCTTCCAACTTCGATTCCTTTCTTACCAGATTCTTTTCTTTCCACGAAACAATCTTCTCGGGTGGGTTTTCCCCGATCTGGGTCGGATCTGATTCCTCCGAAGCAACGAATCTCGTGTCTCCCTTTTGTTTTGCCTTTCGGGGAAAAGGCGAGAATCGTTTCCAAGAGGGAGAAAAAACGATAAATTTCCTTTACTTCCTCTGTAGCTGCTGATTTAGCTTCTTCAATCGTCTTGATCTGGGTATAGAAAAAACTTTCCATTTTTGGCAAATTATTTTCTGGGTTTCGCTTTGTTTGGGGATCTCGAATTTCGATTCCTTGCGTCTCTTCAAAGTTGTCGACTTTAGGAATTTGGGGATTTTGCTTGGGTTTTGGGGTTTTATCTCTCTCCAATTTCTCAGATTTGTTTGGTCTAAATCTGATACTGGAGAGTATCAATTAGGTTTATCAATTTCCCTAAATTTGCAGACTTTTCTTCTGTTTTCTCTGTTGAGAGGGGTTTAAGATGATGGAACTTGAGTTAGGTTTCTCCTTGTGAAAGATTTGTGTCTTGTTTACAGCATTTCTTTGTTGTATACGCTCCTGGGATTGCATATGGCAAGCGTCATTGATGTTACCAAGTATGGTCATAGTCCTGTTCATCATGCTGTTGTGACCAGAGATTACGCCGGTCTCAAGAAACTATTATCCGTTCTTCCTCGGATGCGTGACCTTTCTGAGGTTAAAAACGAAGCAGCTTCCGTAGCTGAAGAGACAAAAGCTGATTCAATTGCAGCTGTTATAGACAGGCGTGATGTCGTTAACCGAGACACGGCTCTTCATTTAGCTGTAAAGCTTGGGGATGAGACCTCTGCGGAGATGCTAATGGCTGCAGGAGCTGATTGGAGCTTGCAGAACGAGCAAGGATGGAGCGCTCTACAAGAAGCTATTTGCGGTAGAGAAGAGAGGATTGCTATGATTATCGTGAGGCATTATCAGCCTTTAGCTTGGGCTAAATGGTGCAGGAGGTTGCCTCGGCTTGTAGCTACGATGCATAGGATGAGAGATTTTTACATGGAGATCACTTTCCATTTCGAGAGTTCGGTTATACCTTTTATCTCTAGAGTGGCGCCTTCGGATACTTATAAGATTTGGAAGAGGGGCGCTAATCTTAGAGCGGATATGACGTTGGCTGGATTTGATGGTTTCAGGATTCAAAGATCGGATCAGACGATACTTTTTCTTGGAGATGGATCAGAAGACGGTAAAGTTCCTTCGGGTTCTCTCCTTATGATATCACATAAAGATAAGGAGATTATGAATGCTTTAGACGGTGCTGGAGCTCCGGCTTCAGATGAAGAAGTTCGTCAAGAAGTGGCTGCCATGTCGAAAACGAGTATTTTCAGACCCGGGATCGATGTTACTCAAGCTGTTCTCTTCCCGCAATTAACATGGAGGCGTCAGGAGAAGACAGAAATGGTTGGGCAATGGAAAGCAAAGGTGTATGATATGCACAATGTGGTTGTTAGTATAAAGTCAAGGAGAGTACCGGGTGCAATGACCGATGAGGAGCTTTTCTCAAACACTAATCAAGAAAATGAAACGGAAAACGAAGATCTTGGAGATATCTTGTCGGAAGATGAGAAGAGGCAGCTAGAGTTAGCACTGAAGCTGGATTCACCGGAAGAATCTTCTAACGGCGAGAGCTCTAGGATTCCTCAGCAGCATAATAATTCTTTCGAGGATCGGGAGATTCCAGTAACGGATGGGAACGGGTATTGCAAACAGGAGAAGAAAGGATGGTTCAGCGGGTGGAGGAAACGAGAGGAAGGAAACAAACGTAGTAGCAGCGTTCCTCCGAGAAATTCGCTTTGTGTCGATGAGAAAGTTAGTGATCTTCTTGGGGACGATGATTCTCCATCTGGTGGAGGAAGACAGATAAAACCGGGAAGACACTCAGCGGTTGAGACTGTTGTGAGAGACGAAAACCGGGGATCAAGAGATTCATCAAAAGCGTCAACATCAGAAGGTAGTGGAAGTAGTAAGCGAAAGGAAGGAAGCAGAGAGAACGAGTACAAGAAAGGGCTTAGACCGGTTCTTTGGCTTTCTGAGAGATTCCCATTACAAACCAAAGAACTTCTTCCATTGCTCGATATCCTTGCAAACAAAGTCAAAGCGATTCGGCGTTTGAGAGAGCTTATGACCACGAAACTACCTTCCGGAACATTCCCAGTCAAGGTCTGTTTAACCTTCTATGATCATATCCCATCATTTTTTACTCAGATTTTGCCCATATCATTTTGGTTCTTGTATCCCAGGTTGCTATTCCGGTGATTCCAACGATTAGAGTGCTTGTTACATTTACAAAGTTCGAAGAGCTAGAAGCTATCGAAGATGAGTTTGTTACGCCGCCATCAAGTCCAACTTCTTCGGCCAAGAACAGTCCTAGAGATGAAACACAAACCTCATCAAGCTCATCTTCCTCATGGTTTCAATGGATCAAAACACCGAGCCAACGTCCATCGTCAAGCTCGAGCTCTGGAGGGTATAATATTGGTAAAGCCGAAAACGATCAAGACCCGTTTACGATTCCAAAGGGATACAATTGGATCACATCT